GATGCTGTGTCCTGCCTTCAGCTAGCCTTGCTTAAAATATTTCATGTGCTACTTCACTGCAGTATTCCTTCGGGTAACTCAAAAATCTAAACACAGTATTGTACTTCCTCTTGGTAATAAAGTGCTGTAATTAGCAGCTAATTAAAGATACTAAACATGAAGTTGAGATACTGCACATCATATGTATCTGTGTATAGCATCAATATAAACATTTATTATCTTTGCACCAGCTTAAAGTATGTAGCAGGCAGGTCTATGCCATGACTGACCAGATGGGTGAGAACGGCCGGTAATTCTGTTCTGCTCACTGGAAACTGCAGCAGAGTAGAGTTTTAGTAGTTAAGTCTTGTCCCCCTTATCTTTTTGAAGATTGATATTTTCAAACTCAAAATTCGCACATTTATTTAAGAGGTATCTATGTGGTCTTAGGCAGGCAGGTGCAAACGAACTTTTCCTGTGGTCTTGGTCTGTTGGCCAGCTGGGAGCAGTGTAGCTGTTAATTTGGCTTGGAACCTGAATGAATATAGCTGGTTTGGAGCTGGATGATGCCTGCTCAGTTCCCTGTGTCCCCCTGCAAAGGGTAAAGAATGCATGCCCCTGCCTGCTTGTCTCCAGACCTGGCCATCTTCAGTGGAAAGTGTTGGTGTCCCCAGGATGGGCTGGGAGCAGCACTTGTGTTCAAAGTCTGATTAATTGGCAGATTCTTGAGTGAGACCCCTCTGGGGAAAAAGCACATGTTTAAAATGGGTTGATTCTGGTTTTGATCACACATTAATAATAATTAATGATGACTTGATCATCCTGATGTTGCTCTCGATGATTTGGCCTGCTTCCCAGGCAATGTAGGTTACCTTTGGATTTCAGCATCTGAAAAAAAATTGGGAATAAAAAGGAAATCCATTCTCTTTGCATAGTTGAAAAACCAGCTGAGGTGAGGTGAGCTGAGCAGAGAATGCTGCTAGGTGGAGGCTTCGAGCCTGAGCTGGTTAGTTGAAGGGATCGAGAGCTTGCATAGATGTGGAAAGTATTGGGATTTAGGGAGCAGAGCCTGGGCTTGAGCTGTGTGAGTAGCTGCTGGCTGTGATACGATACGTGGTGCAGCACAGGAGGGCAGCAGGCAGGGCAGCTCTACAAGGGCAAGTGCTTCAGCGGAAAGGTAAGACAGAGCAGAGTGGAAGTAGCATAGGTGTATACGTTTAGTGGGAGGATGGTGGCAAAGGTCCTGTCCCCTGAGTGGTTAGATGTGTCGCTGTGACCTAGCTAAGATTTTGAGATGGGCACTGTGGTGTATCTGGCTGTGCTTGTTACTGCTACCAACAGCTGAGCACGACTGTGATCTCTTTTCCACAATAATAAAGAGTAGCAAAGGGAAGGACACCTAATAACTGAAGAGCATCATTGTTGTAGCCGAAAGGGAGACACTGCTGCGGACCTGCAGAAATATTGCTGGTTAAATAATAACCAGTTTTAAAAAGAAGTATTTGTTTAGGAAAGCCTTGAGGAGACTCCAAAAATGCAAAGAAAAGGTTTAACGATAATGAGTCAGTAGGATTCATTTTTGTACTATGTGTATGTATTGTCTTAGGAGCAAGGCACAGAGTTCTTGCTGCAGGGATTGTCACTGGAAAGGTGGGAAGGAGCAGTGGTCTGTGCTTTAGTGACGGCTAAGTACAGCTACCCTGTTAGATGGAATGATGCACATGGAGTTGAAAAGCTTATGACATGTAGCAGGGATTTTCATTCTTTAAGAGAAGGATAAAGAGTTGGAAGGGCAAGTGTAGGAGCACTGTGTGCCTGTTGGTAGGAATACTGGTGTGTTGCTCCTAGAAAGGTTTTTTCACTTTCAAATTCCAGTGACTTGTTTTCTGGAGGGCCGTAGGTCATTTGTCAAAGAATAACTCTATGAAATCTTCTGTCACTGAATATAAATGTTGAAATTGACATAGGTGCAATGATGAAATATCAAAATCCTTTTACTTGATCCTATTTAGGGAAAGGGATAACAAACTGATACTAAATGCCTTCATGTCTAGGTCCTGGAGTCTACACTGAAAGCTGGCTTTAGATTTTTAGGAAACCATGGAAAGCCTGGCAAGAGGGGTGGAGGCTTGATTAGTTAGCTATTATATCAGAATTTTTTTTTCTTAATTCAGCTTGGCCCTAGGTGACCGCCATAGCTGTTTTCCCCAAACGAATTATTCATGTGTTTTTGATACAAACTTCACTGTGAGCCTTTTGATCTTCAAACATTTGCTTTTTGCAGCTGTGCGTTTTGTTATGTGTGTTAATGCTTTCAGATAGTTGACTAGGAATTTTTTTTGGTACTAATTCTCTGAACACATTCTAGTGAAACTCTGAACTGCTTTAAAATCAGTAGTAGTGTTAAACTCGTTCTAATTTAGCTGCTGTCCTGTGTGGTTTTATTGACCATACTTTTTCTTAGTGTTCTTCCCATAACTGGTTTCTACAAACCTTTGCATTAATTTTTTAATGCCTAGTGATGTGTTGGTGAATGAATGTTAGTAAGATTCTTGATTTCTGTCCCCCACTCCACCCCGATTTCAGCTATCTTAATATGGAGTGTGAGCCTCCATGTATAAGCCAGACTCAGCTTGGATTTACTTTTTTACCTTAAGTCTTCCTAGTTACTTTACTTTGTAAAGAGATGAAAAATTGATTGTGTACTTTCTCTTCCTGTTTCTGTCACACGGGGTATTACTCAAAATCACTGCTTTTCTAATGTTTATTTGTAAGATTCTTAGAATGGGTGACTCTTAAAACCTGCTGCGTATGGCAGTCACGTTTGCTGTGCTCTTTAAGATTGACCTTGTTTCTGCCAACATGTATTTTTGGAATAGTTGCGTTACTTGCGTATTTTAAGCAGTTTAAAGCCTTTGAGAAAATATTCAGTCATAAGTGAGATGTATGAGTTTCCTTTATCATAATGTTATTTTACTCAAAGGGAAACAGCAATAATTTATCCTTTCATGGCAATGAATAAAGGATATTGACCGAGTGAAATATTAATGCATGTACTAAACTTAACATTTTGAAACCTCTAGCAATTTTTTTTCCTTTCTTGTATAAAAAATGGTGTCAAATGCTAGTATTGTGATTTTTTCAAAGATTATCTTTAAAAGATTGTGTGTTGGGTGGTTTGGTTTTTTTAACCGTATCGATATACCTGAACTTTCCTGTCCAACAGTGACATAAGAACCAACTAGAACCTTTCTGATGCTTACATTAGGACCTTGCTGCTCCCACCTGTGGTTTGTATCCTTGCATCTGGGGATTTCTAGCAAAATCTCTTACCATTTCCAGAATGAATGTTAAGCATATGGAAATTGGAAACCCCTTCGCTGTCCTGTAGGAGAGCTCTTAAGTCTCATGTTGCTGGTGGAGAGGAAGTGGGGAGATTGAGTACCACTATTCTGCATTTGGCCTGTAGTGTTCCTTTTGTTTTCTGAAGGTGTTCAGTGTGTCTTCCTTTCAATATGACATGAAAATAAAATACTTCTGGATTTGATTCACAAAAAAGTTCATTGCAGCATTGTGTCTAAATAAAAGCTTCTGCTTTAGCAACCAGTCAGTCTTTGTACTGTGCTTCAGATACATGCAAAATGTGCTGAGATGGAGTTACTTTTTCAATACTTTTTCAAGTTGAAATTCTGTTTTAATTAGATTCTATTAGAGGATCTTGGGAAGGGATTTTTTTCCTGTAGCTCACTGTCTTTAGTATCTTAGCAATTATTGTACAGGCTGTACTGCAGAATTGGTTGTGACAACCATTGAGCAATTCAGTGTTTTGAGGAAGTCAGCAAAGGTCAAAATAAATAGTTGCCAGCAGCATCACTTCAAAGGAAGTTCCTCTTCAACCTTGGTTTTGAAGAGTTTTAACCTTTTGCTAGGCAGCTAGGTCTTCCTTTACGGCACGCCTAGATTTTCTCTAAGTTGGGCCAGGGGAGGAGTTGAACTCTGTGAGTCACTGTAGGTCAAAGCCTCTTACATTTTCAGTTGCTGAAGGAAGCTCTAGTGAGGGGTTCATTAGACAATACCTCCAGGGGCTGCTGTCCTTTCCCCTCCAGTGATCAGTGAACCCGTCAGGCAGCATTACCCCATAACACAGGTCAAGAAGTAGCAGCAGATTGTGATCAGCCCCAGTTAACCTTCTTGTTCCTGGACCTGCAGTTTCCCCGACTGTCTGCTCAGAGTCTCTTCTGCCCTAGCAGTATCTCTCACTTTCCCCCCAGGACCCCTGAAATCCCAGGAACGTTCAGGTGCCGGCAGTGGGATCAGGGGTCAAGGACATTTGGTGTAGGAGTGACCTGAAGACAAAGTGAGGAAGGAGAAGAGCTGGCAGCATGAGGCCTTAATGCAAGACGTTCAGGAGCTGGCGTAGGTTCTTTGTGACTGTTTTCTGCACGCTGGCAGGTGCTGGCAGATCTTTTGCTTTGGTGTAGATTAGAAAAGCGGTGCCCTTGCTCTCTGTCCTGCCACTGCAGGGACTAATGAAGGTGAGCGGTGGGTGGTCTGGACTGTTCACATTGATGTACTCGTACTGCTCCAGTGTCCATCAGTAAAGTAGTTGACTGTTTCTGTATCTATTTTTCTACAGTTTCTGTGCCATTATTAGTTTATCAAGATGTTTTTAAATAAGCTTTTATTTCTATTTATTTTTTTAATGGGAAGTCTGAGCCGATCCTGGATCCTGTGGTATTTCTGTACTGCAGAAATGAGCTCTGTGAGTATACGTCAGGAATTCCTCTGAGTCTTGCTTTGTGGATTAGCAGCATAGTTGCATGTTACTACTTCTATAATATTGTATTGCTGTTGATGCTTGTGTTGCTTTTGACAGCCTTGGGTGTTCTGGAGGAATAAATAATCTCAGTGTCACTTCATGAATATTGTTTGGGTTTTTTTGTCTTCAGTGCCAGCAGGTTTACTGAAAAAACTATTAAAAAACTCGACTGTTGGATCTTCTTTCTTTTTGTCATCATAGGTGGCGACAGACAGAGTTGCAGGAAAGCTGAGCTCTACTCTCTCATGGGTGAAGAACACTGTATCGCACACCGTCAGTCAAATGGCTAGTCAGGTGGCAAGTCCATCTGCCTCCTTACACACTACATCCTCCTCTACCACTCTGTCCACACCTGCGTTATCACCATCCTCACCAACACAGCTGAGTCCAGACGACTTAGAATTACTCGCTAAACTTGAGGAACAGAACAGGTGAATGGAAAACCTTTTGTTCTTCAAAGTATAGTAATGGGACTAAAATTGATTTATTGCAATTTCAGCACAGAGGCTGTTAAAAGTGGGTTAAGTAAAACTTCATGGCACAAGGTTTCAATTTCAAGGCCTCAAGGTTTAAGAACTTGTGTTCTTGTGTTGTGTTTTTAAAAGATCTTTTTTTGTGGAACTCTAAAAGGTGTTTTTCTCTCCTGGTTTTGCAGGAGTGTTTATAGCTGCCTCTAATCCTAAGAATTTACATTGGAGCCATGTGATTTTCAGTATCTAATTTCATAGAATCATAGAACTGTTTAGGTTGGAAAAGATTTTTAAGATCATTGAGTCCAACTGTATTGAAAATAAAGTATCTCAGGGATGAAACTTTCATGTAACCTTCTTACCTTCTTAGATCAAAACTGTAATTTCTATTAGCTTTTTATAAATGTTAAAGAATTCTGAATTCCATTTTCTCTGTTTTTTTTTTTTTTTCCACTTCTACCCAGTACTTGCTTTCCACTACATAACCTGCTCTGTTTAGAGATGGAACAGTGTTCAGCCATCTGTATTTGCAAGAAATAGTAGATGATCCTGCTGTTATACTAATGGTGGCAGATGCATATTGTGTTAATTTCATGAAAAGTCAATTCCTAATTAGTCTATTCTGTTCATCCTGGCTTTGTTTTTTTGTATAGGAAGCAGCTGTTTTCTTGGCAGCCTTTCCATGAGTATGTATTTATCGGCACCATCTACAGTTCAAGACGAAACTTTCGGTTGGATCAGTTGCTCTTGATGTGCGCAATGATTGCAAATTGGCAATCTCACTGAGAAGTAAAGTTGGATTGTATGACTTCTTAATGCTGAATTTCCAGAACCCATACTTATTTGCACTCTTGAGGCAGGATTTCTAAGTCACCTGGCCTCTTGCAAAATTTGGTTATATTTGACAAGTATGTTTCAGTAGTTCATGAGAGGTTGACTGTAAAGGAGAACTTGGGCTCCAAATAGGTTTTAGGCTTAGCAGGTAGCTGAGGACTTTGATACCTCCTGAAGAGTGCTATCCGTTGTGCTGTAGTGAAGTGCAGAGTTCTGCTGTAGCTTCTGTTCCAGTTTCTGCTGGCATGCTGGACTTTGCACTGACTCGGGTTTGTTTATTCTGCTGATTCAGCTGTGAGAGTAGTAACTTTCAGTAGGGAAAAAGAGTAACTAGGAAGAGGAGGAGCTAATGGCATTGTGTCACCTGGCATATCTTCTCTCGTGTTCATATTCTGCAGCCTAATAGCAATACAGGTTAGAGGGAATTTGTTATATCTGTCTAGTTCTTGACCAAGAATGGAAGGCAGCTTCTAGAACCACGTCATCCTCTTTTCCTTGTGTTTTATGCAATTGTCTCGCCTTTGAAGATGAGCTATTTGTCATTTTTGCTGTTCAGGTAGCAAATGAAAATTTATCAAAAGAAGGAAAAAAAAGAGGTGCTTTTAAGAAAGCTAATTTGCATTGAATCTGAGGCATTCAGCTCTATTCATGACTAAGTGACTAACTCTTATTTGGAAAGCAGTAATATTGTTCTTTGGACTGCTTATCTGTGTTGGAGTGTAAGGCCTTTACATGCAGAGTCATCTCGTTAAGCCCTGCAGTCAGACTAGTTTGCTTGTTGAAAGAAGAATGTGAGCTTGGGCTTTGCTAGCCATTCCTTTTCAAGTCAGGTTTCCTCATGTGGTAAATAAGGCAGCAAATCTTGTCTGGTGGTGTTTAATTTTAGCCAGACCTGTTGTTCAATCCCACGGTAATCTTCTGTGTGAATTCCAGTTAGAGACTATCCTATCCAGTGTACCTTTTCTCGTGAAATACTATGCTTCAGTACAGAAATCTGATGATCTCATGCTGGGTGCACCATAGTTTCAGAACAGTTTGAATCTGCGTTTTAGCACAGTGGCACTTTGTTGACAAGGAATTGTATTCTGAACACAGACAATTATTCTTGTTTCTCCTTCTTGGAAAAATTGCTGGTGATGGATATTTTTTAAGGTTTCCTTTTCATTGTTGGCATTTATGTCAATGAGGAGAATATGAATTAGTTAAACAGCTAGAAATGGAAAGAACTCAAATTGTATCAAGCTATGTCTTCTAGCATTCTGTAATCCAATTATACTGAAAATCCCCTTAGAATAATGAGGTAGCTCAGTCCAGAGTCCTGGTGGAGCTGTTTGGCATTAGTAAATCATTCATAAAAGTTTTAGGTGAAAGAAAACAGTGACTAAATGCCGCAGAACTCGCTACTTACTGTAAAAAGAACTTCCCATTTTCAAATCTAAGGACCATGAATTTATCCAGGTAAGGTCAAATTACAGAAACTTAGTATAACTTCTACAGAAAGCTGTGAAAACCGGAAGCAACTAGTTAGAACCTTGTTTTTATAATTGTAATGTTTATTCTGTGCTTGTTTTTTCTCGGTGATTACTTTGAATTTGATCTTTAGGTGTTGTCTCAGATAGAGAAGAGGAGTTCCAAACTGTAAATTTTCATTATTATAGGCCAAATTTCTAAACATTAAAAATGGATTTTAAAATGTTTTCCTCAAAACAAAATTTTTTGCATTGCCTTAATGTGCACTAAATTAAAATTGTTCTTGAAAAAGCTTGATTTCCACCCCCCAAGGCTCTACTTTTTAACCCTTTTCCAAACAAAATACTACTGCAGAGACTGTACTTGTTGTCTTCATGAATTAAATTACTTTTTTCCCCTAACTTCTGTAAACACCAGAAGGTGAAAGCTGGGAACAGGGAAGGGTAGTATAAATATCTCTATGATAGCAGAGAGCTTAAAAATTGTAGGTATGCTGAGATTTGTGTACTGTCTCAGGTTTGATAATTAATTAAGTATCTAAAACCTAACCTGACCTTGCTGAAATGCTGAGGGTTAGCTTTTGTGCTGGTGCACTGAGAAATTGTTCGAAATCACTCTTAGACATTGGAATTCTTGGAAGTTAAAGCACAAATGAAACTCTCGATACAGCAAAACACTTCTTCAAGTTAGTCTGAATTCTTACTCGTACCTAACATGTGGTCTAAAAAGTCTCCCCGTTTAAGGTGCTCAACATTAGTTAAGCATAACCAAAGCAGAATTTTCCCAGAATCCCCAGCACCTTGCAAAACCGGTGGCCTTAGCAACCAGCTAACAGGGAACTCTCTTCAGCGACTTACTCAGCGCTGGGCACATCTTTATCTATACCTTGCCCCCTGATAACCCCAGAAGTTCTGACATCTGAACTGCAGGCAGTTACGCATTCATTAACTATCCTAACCACTTCTGTTGCCTGCTCCTCGGTCTTTAGGTCTGAGATTTTTCCCATGCATTTATAAAACATCATGTTGATTTGTGAACAGTTGTCAGCAAATGTCAGGTGTTTTAAAATTGCTCCAGATTTTAATTATTCTGTCTGGTTTACACTCTCAATTTTTAAAAGAAGTGTATTCAGGTAGATTTTTTTAGGAGGCAATTTTTTTGTCTTTTCCTTAAAATTAGTCTCTTTTGCAGTACTTTGACATTTGATGCTATCATTGAGGATATTTAACCTCCTTATGTTCTTTTTTTGTTATTTTCTTATCTTTAGTCTGATGCACACCAGCTGTGGGTTTCTTGTTGCTGGTAAAATCAAAGCCCCCTTGCTGGTACTTATGCCTCAAAACAAACCATCTTCCCTGTAGGGCTGTTAATATCCGGTTGATGAATGTGTAAAACAGTGTTGGACTCACAGTGCTTCAGTACTTTCTCTAATTTGGTATCTTTATGTATTAAGATCTAGTTCATGAGACCACAAAATGCTTGTATTAAAATCTCACTTCTCAGTGTTGTTGATGCATGATATGACATTTTTATCATAGAATTATAGAACGATTTGTGTTGGAAGGGACCTTAAAGATCATGTAGTTCCAACTCCCCTGCCATGGGCAGGGACACCTTCCACTAGATCAGGTTGCCCAAAGCCTCATCCAGCCTGGCCTTGAACATTTCCACGAATGGGGCATCCACAACTCGTCTGGACAACCGGTTCCAGTGCCTCACTACCCTCATTGTAAAAGTTTTCTTCCTTAGATCCAATCAAAATCTGTCCTCTTTCAATTTAAATCCATTAACTCTTGTCCTGTCACTACATGCCCTGTCCGTTTCTTAAAAGACTGCGATGTGAGCTCCTCTTCTCTCTGCAGAATTACTTGGGATATCAAGAAACAGTAACATGGAACAGTTCTTCTTTTCAAATTTAGTACAAATGGATGTTGGAAAAACTGTTCCCCTGAGCCTTTGGGTGTGCTTTTTGTAAAGAGGTTGGAAGAATTGACTTCTGAACAAACAATGAATAATGTGGTCCTGTGATTAGAAGAACTTGAATTTGTTTTTTTTATGCTTTTTTTGCAGACTCTTGGAAACTGATAGCAAATCCTTGCGATCGGTAAATGGGTCACGAAGAAATAGTGGATCTTCTCTTGTATCTAGTTCATCAGCTTCTAGCAATCTCAGCCATCTTGAAGAAGACTCATGGATCCTGTGGGGGAGGATTGTGAATGAATGGGAAGATGTACGGAAAAAGAAAGAAAAGCAAGTTAAGGTAGTACTTGGACACTATTTTTTAGGATATATTTGTGATGTGATTTAAGCAATACTATTTTATATTCCTATTGGCCTCATTTTTAAAATAAATATGTAATAGAAACTTTCACTTGAATCTACTTCCATCCCTAAGCCTTAGTGCTTCCTACGTAACTGTTACCAGACTTCGGTAACAGTTTTGCTGAGCGCACGTCTCTTATTAAAAACTAGATGCATTAGTATGCATTAGTATCCTGAATACTAAAGCTTTCGGTCTACCTCTGATGAGAGGTTCCCATGAATATAGGGAGCGTTTGCCTCATGTTTCCAAAATGGAATTACTGAAAACCCGCTTCAGGGCATCTGATAGCTGGATGCTATGATTATTTTCCCATTAGGCGTCTGTCTTTTTTAAAACATTCTTATTAGGAGAGCTGATAATTATACTGTATGAGGCTCTGATGAGTTTAGTTTTTTGTGCATGCCAAGAGTGTTGACCCCAGGGATGACCTTAAGCAAAGAACACATAGTTTGGAAATTCTGAGTGAATTGGACAAACTTTGACCAGTGTGTGTCCAGTCTGCGTTAGTCATTGGCATGTACAGAAGTGGAATTTGATTACACTTTAAATTCAAACTAAGAAGTATCTAGGGCATTTGAACACATCCATGTTTCAGAGGCAGCAAGTACAGCAGTGTAGCATTTCTTTTTTTGTTGGCAGGTCTGTTCTGCTTTGGTTCTTTATTGACTCTAGTCTGTAGTTTTATGTGCAGAATACAAATTTCAGAGTCTTTTGAGCAGTTTGAAATGTGTGTGTATGAATAGGTTGTGGGAAGGCAGAACAATGGGCTAAAGTATCTTTTATGTGAAGCAGTTGTGAAGAGAGAACATGACTTAAGAGAGGAAACAAGGGAAGAAAATGAATTGAGCACTTCCTACGTGCATAGGGAAAACAGATTTTGGAAAGGTGTTCCCAAAAGGCCATGAAAAGGCAGCCACGTGAACCTGGCAAGAGAAAGAGGAAATGAGATGGTCATAAGTACATATGGTTGGATAGAGTTCATCTGAACTGCTTGCCTTTGAACATTTTGAAGTGTCATGAGTATCGCTTGTTTTTACAGCTGGCCAAGTATAATTTGGGGAGTATTTGACTAAATTTCAGTAAATACTTAATTCTTTTGCTAGTGAGTTTTCCTTTGCTGGTTAAATAATTCTCAATATTTTTTTGTTTTTGTTTTGTTTGTCAAAAGTCAGCCTAAACTGTGTCATTCTGCAGTTACGATGGAATACCAGAACCATACCTATATCCTGATTATGCCAGTAGGTATGACTTTAGAAGCACAGGTATCTTTTTGTCTTGACTGTAAAAGCTGGTCTTAAGTTATTAGATATCTGGTAACTTTTTTAAGTTTTAGACATAGGTGTATATACCTTCCTGCATACGTGATGTGTTCCATCCTTATGTCTTTTGATCCACTTCAGAACTTGCTTCCTGTTTATGGAGGGATTCTGAAGGATGACTTAAGTCCTGCTTTTCAGCGTGCATAAGACTGTGTAGAATAGCACCATTTTAGTGCCACTTAGTAAGTGTGTTTTCCTACTGTTTCTTTAGGATTCTTGAAGGGATTAATCCTGTTATTGTCCAGAAGGTGCATGGTAACTTAAAGCAAAAAACCACTTGCTAATGCTTTGTTACTAGTAGCCCTTGAGGCTTTAGGATGCCTGATCTGCAATCTGATAGTGCATTGTTAACAAATCATAGCTAGAGACAGATGTGGAAAGCTGATGTGCTAAGGTTGTTGTCCTGGAGCTGGAAATCTTTTAGGAAGTAACACAGAGGTGTCGTAGTTGGGACAAATGGAGTGGCATTAGTAGGATGGTTCTGAAGGAGGCTGGAGATCTTAGGGATATTAGAAAATTGAGGTCAGCGATGCAAACCTCCTGCAGTAGAATTCAAGCTTAACAAAAACAAAACTTGAAAGCAGAAGTCTCCTTAAAAGTTATCACTGTTGCATTAATTAATCTTAGTTTGGAGAAATAGGAGAGGTATTTGGAACGAACAGGAAAAAGAGGAAGCTTTGCAGGATAGATTATGATGACTTCAGAATAAAAACTAGTGAAAGAAACTATCCTCTAGGAGACAGAATACTTGATAACAGTTCTTAAGGTAGAAGAAGTTCTTAAAGGAACCCTCTTGTCTTGAAGAGGCTTATCTTCTAGGTCAGACTGATCCTAGTTGCAGAAAGTACCACTAAGACAGTCTGTAAACTTCCTGACTTAAACTTTTTTCTCAGTTTTCAGACCAAGCGAAAAGACTACTTTCAGCTTGTGCTTTCTGAAAAGACAAGCAGCGGGTTCTTGGATCTATTGATCTGGGAAGGTCTGAACTGTGTAATAACTAGCTGATTTTTTTTTTTTTTTTTCCCTCAGGGATGATAAAGTAAATTGAGTTAATTCAGTAGATGTAAACTTTAATGTTTTCTTGGTCCAGTGGCTGAAACTACATTTAAGTACTTTCTTGAAAAAGCACTTGGAAACACTGACATACCTGAGAAATTAAACACAACTTGTCAAGTTTTTCAGGTGGCTTCTGATAGTAGCACTGTGTGATACTTTTTGTTGCAGTTTGCTGTGCTGCAGTTAGTTCCACGTTTTATCATTTACCTGTCTTGGAAGTAATTTTTAATTGGTGATTTCATATCTCTCAATCACTGTAAATATAATTAAGGGTGTTATCTTCAGTAATCTTTTGTGAAATATAAAAATAACTGTATTAAATTCTGGCTTGTGGAAGTTCTTGTTTAAAATTACTTGAATATTCTGGTTTTGAAGTGGCTTACTATGAATAGGGGGCTACTTTCATTAGCTAATTTAGCCACTAAAAATTATTCTGACTCTCGACGCTTTTGTTGGCTGACAATCCATTAGGCTAAAATTGAGATTTATACATTATAAACTATATGATTGGTTTGTGACATGATTTAAACATTCTCTGAAGTTGTGAGGAACTTCAGTATGTTTAAGTGCTTTGTTCTTTAGGCTTATGTTTATATTTTGAGGAAATATAAATGAATTTGTGTCTTTTTGTGTTCTTTAGGAGCTTGTTCGAAAAGGAATACCTCATCATTTCAGAGCAATTGTTTGGCAACTCTTATGCAGTGCTCAAAGCATGCCAATTAAGGATCAGTATTCAGAGCTTTTGAAAATGACATCTCCTTGTGAGAAATTAATAAGAAGGGACATTGCTAGAACATACCCTGAGCATGATTTTTTTAAAGAAAAAGACAGCCTTGGACAGGAGGTCTTGTTCAATGTAATGAAGGTAAGTCAGTGTTTCAGCCCTTGGAAAATACATTAGCAAGAATGTGCACAAAAGTCTCGAAAGTAATTTGCCTTGTATATACTGAACTTGCATCAGTTTCATGTGCTCAAGTTTTATAAACTTACTCCACTTAACACAAATGGTTTAAAAAATTACATTCCAGTTTCAAAAATAGCTTTCAAACATGACATTCCTATAGTTAGTGGTTTTACTTTGTAAAAGACATAAAAAACTTGCTAAGTTTGCATTAAAACAAAGTGAGATGCAAACTGCTGATAGTATAAAGCAATAAAGTGTGCCATGAAGTAAAAGAAACAGTGTTGACCAAGACAAGAACGCTGTAAATCAGAACTAGCTTTCAGTTTTCAAGAGTTTCTAAACCTGCAAGAGGTAGCAGCAAATGTCAGGTACAAGCTAGTGTGCAGTGGTTACAGTGCCCAAGCACAAAATGAGAATGCCCCTATAAAATTAAGTTTGTGGGTTTTTGTCTTCATTGCACTAGAGCTTAAATTTTGAAAGAGACTTTTCCATACAACATAGTTTCAACAGAAAAGTCAGCAGGTTTCCAAATCATAACAACTTCTGTGACTCTCAAATGAAGATGGAACATGTGTGGAGATGACTGCGTTTCCTCCACCTGTAAATAAAACTATAGCGCACAATTTTTCTGAAAAGAACTATTGTTTCTTTGTCTGATCTGTCTCCTATAAAAGTCATAACCTTGTGCAGTTTGTATGCCAGCTGTGTCTGTTATCTTTTGATTAAGTCCTGTAGTTGAAAACTGCGTGTGTTTTTGTTAGGTATGCCTTAGCTGTAGCTTTGTAGGTTATCAGAGAGCAGAGTTCATACCCCTTTGTAGCAGCAGGTAGCAACTAGAACATCTGACTAAAACTTCTGAACAGAATGTCTGTCCTTGCTGGATTCTGGAGAGGAAGAGTAAGTTATTAGCAAAATAACAGCATGAACTATAATTACTCTTTATTGATAATGAGGTTTTAATTGGTGAGAGTCTTCAAACTTTATTTTCCAGGCTTATTCTTTGGTGGATCGTGAGGTTGGATACTGTCAAGGAAGCGCTTTTATAGTTGGATTACTGCTTATGCAGGTAAACATGATATTAAAAGTATGTGAACCTTGAAAATGCCTGCATAATATATCATGGTGGTTTATTGGGAATTTTTATAATGGTTTTCCTTCATCATTTTGTTACAATGGAATTGTGAAGGCCAGCTGTTAACTCTGCAAATCAAATGAGATTTATTCTGTGGTTCAATTTGCCAAGATGCTACTGGGAGCACGCATTTATTTCTCAGAGCTAAGGCAGGACTGAAGACTTGCAAGCTATTTTGGTGAATGTTGTTTCAACTGTTAACAAACTTCTCATATCAATTCTGTTTCACTGATTCTCCTCAGAGTTCAAATGGAACTTCACAGTTGATTTGGTAATATTAAAGCTGCCTTTGTATTGCTGCCTTTTGTTTTATGACAAAGTAGGGTGTATTATAAGAAACTTGCAGAACTCTATTTCAGTTTAGAAATCACTTGACAGAATTCAATGTATACGAAAGTTCAGTAATTGGTTATAAATCCCTTAAAACAACAAACAACCTAAACCAAAAAAAACCCCACCACATTACAGAGAAAACCCCAACCCTAAGCTCTCCCAGGCACTTACTCTGATACATCCTTACATTTGTCCAGAGTTTTTACTGTGCTTTTTTGGTTTTAATTATAGATGCCAGAAGAAGAGGCGTTTTGTGTGTTTGTTAAATTAATGCAAGATTACAGACTACGAGAACTCTTTAAACCAAGCATGGCTGAACTGGGCCTTTGTATGTACCAGTTTGAATGCATGATACAGGTACATACAAAATCTATCAAACTTTCTCTTCGGTAACTATTAATAAGGAACTTGGGAATTCCAGTTCAAGGACAGGCATGTCTGTTGGCTAGTAGGCTGTTCTCTTGACAGTAGCAAGTTTCAGAACTTCAGAAGTAAATGCATGTGGCTGTGGTCGACTTGTTAACCTTCGGCAGACAGCGACTGGCTTTAAACACTGAAGCATGAGAATTTGTATTGCTACAGTTTAAGCATATGAATGTCTAGTTCTGTTTGGATCAAAGATTCTGGAAGTCAATTTATAGCTATTTTAAAAAATGGAAACTGGGAGATACCTTCATGTGCAGAATTAAAATTGTGTTCAGATTTGGGAAACGGAAAACTTTTTCTTCCTGGTCAGGCTGACAGAGACAAATAGCTTTGTGTTTTGTGATCCAGTTCCTAACACAATGATCAGGGGTTCGATGTTAGGAAGCAAATAATCCATAGGTCTCCAGCCATACCCTGGATCTGTCCAGCTTTTTTGTAGCCCACTCTAGATGTCACTTAGGGATTTACAAGCTTGTAACTTCTTACTAGGATCAGGAAGTGTTTTTGTAATCTGTGCTCTGCAGGGTAGAAGCATTGTCGGCATTCTGTACTGCGACCTCTGTTGCATGGTTCTTGATAATGATGAGTAATATGTTTGCTAGTCCTGCGTTACGAAGCTGCTGTCTGTACTAAACATGAATTATTATCTTCTTTTAGACAAAATATGTCAAAAATAGGGACGCACTAAAACTACCAGCAGAAGCTCAATGCATATTTTTTTTATTCATCCTCTTTTCCAGGAGCATCTTCCAGAGCTTTATGTGCACTTTCAGTCTCAGAGTTTCCACACTTCTATGTATGCATCGTCATGGTTTTTAACTATATTCCTTACAACTTTTCCACTACCAATTGCAACAAGAGTATTTGATATCTTTATGTCTGAGGTAACTGCTCAATATTCATATGATCTAATTCAAGAGTGGCTGTTAATAGCAGTTATTTAGGTAGTGGTATAAATCCCATTATGATGGGCAAATCTCACATACTCTCACTTTTTAGTCCTTATGCTTATCAGATTATTTTGTAGGGGAAGATGTGTGTGTATGTAGCTTGTCAAGGAAGAGCAACTAAACCTTTGAACGTAGATTGAAAGTTGTGTACAACTTTGTACTCTTAGCCTGTTGAAGAGTTACCACATCTGTCAGTTCTGGATGCGATAGCATTGCACACAGCAGGGACATCGGTTTCTCAGAATTACAGTAAGTTTGATGTGGACAGTAATTCTGCTTTTGGCCGAAGTTAAAGCTCCCTGGGCATATGCAGGTCAAGAAGAGGGAGTGTTGGCATTTTCTGTCCAGATGCTGAATGATAGCCAAAGAAATTTCTGGAATTATTCAGTGTCACTATGACAAAGACACCCAAGTCATGTTTAGGATTAGAGCTTTGTGTGATTGTAACGGCTAACAAACCAAAGCTTAAGGTCCATTTATGCTTTTTCTCTGCAATCATCTTTTAGAAAATAGTAAGTCAAAGATGAGTCTTTTCAGCTTATGCTCAAGAATGTCCAAGATAGTATATATGAGTGAGCCATTCCCTTGTAACTGTTTGAATAGTTTAACTGCATTATACCGTGTCTGAAAATAAAATGTTTTTCTTTTTGAGAAGTACGTGGTTGGTTTTTTTTCGAGATATATTTAAAACTTTGGATAAAGCTGACATAGAGAATACCTGTCATTCAAGAGTTTTCACCCCGGCACTAGCTACTTGGGGAGGGCAGGGCAGGGTGGGGTGGGGTGTCTGGCATCAGGACAAGTAACCAGACTACTTATCCTTGGGAAAAAGTAAGAAACCCAGAACCAATTTATTGAGAGACTTTTCAGTAGCCCTTTTGCTTGTTTGAGAAACTGGGTGAGATTTCCAGCGTTAGTAAGTAGTAGAATCATTCTGTCCTGTTGACAGCGGCATGAATAACTGTTGGATATTTCTTCTGTTTTCAGGGTTTAGAGATAGTATTTCGAGTAGGTTTGGCAGTACTTCAGATGAACCAAGCAGAGTTACTGCAACTTGACATGGAAGGAATGTTACAGGTAAATTAAAATTGTAAGTGTAAGAGATGCCTGAGATGTGTAATGTGTGTGTGTGTTTATTTCTTTACAGCTATTAATTATATGTAATCTTGTGCTCTGATTGCTTTTAGCACTTTCAAAAGGTCATTCCACATCAGTTTGACAGTGGTCCAGACAAATTAATCCAAGCATCTTACCAAGTCAAATACAATGCAAAAAAGATGAAAAAGTAGGTATAACATTTTGAGAAAATAGATTATACTGTTGCTAAGAGCTACTGTTTGTTTATCTTTAAAACTAGTTATTCAGTATTTCATTTTGAATCTTCCATATTTAAATATTTGGGTGTTTTACATGATAAACAGTTAAAACTGAAGTCTGTCTGCAAGAAAACTCTTCTAAAACAGTACTTACCATTTTTCTTAAATATAATAAAGCTGTATCTCATTTATAAAAATAACCTGAAAAGCTTTTGAAGAAAGCTGCAAGTTATGGGGAATTACAGCACTTCTGTAAACAAGATCTGAATAGAAAAAGTGGGGGGGTGGTTTGTAGGGGCAGGGTGGGGAGAGGGATTGTTTGGGTTTTTGAGGGGGTGAAGTAG